AGTATTAAATCAGATTCTATCTGGTGTTGCTCGCAGTTCATGCGATTGAATAGATAAATCGCAACCATAATTTTTGTAAAGAAAATTTGATGCTTTAGGTTGCCTAGGGAATAAATATTTTGCAGTTCAGAATATGCTCAAATTTTACCTATTCCGATAAGCTGCATATTCACATGTTTCATTCGCGAATTAATCATCCATTTATCCTTTACTGTTGCATTTATTCTTTCGTTGTCGTGTGAGAGAATTTCGTTTTTTCGTCAGGCTAATTCTGTGTTACTGTTACTGCTTGTCGATGAACAGCGTAATGCATTGTTTTAGATTTACGCAAGAGGTTGTAATGGCCTTCTCGAAATTCAGTGTAGTATGCCAGATTTTTCTTGTAATATTACGGATTACATTCTTGCATATACTTATGTTTTGCTTGAAATAACAGGTATTTATGATTTGCTTGTCAGTGATTTGGTAATTTGCTGCTCTTTGTCGAAAAAATTTTTCCTCCTAGGTGACTGTCGTAAAGCTTACCTTGGTGTCGTGACATAAATGGCGAAAAGGGAATTTTATACGCAGGCTGAAGTTCGGCGGATGCTGCAGTTTCTCGTACAGAAGCTGAAAGATCACGAGCCATATGCCATTTATCCTTCTGGCAATGAATTGTGGCTAGAAGGGGAGAAAGCCAGAGTTACACCGCACTCGTACCAGAGCATGAGGGATAAAATGCGTAGGCATTTGTTGCCGAGATTATGTTCGCAGCCGATATCTGACAGTGAGAAGCGCTACCTACACAGTTCGCTAAACATTGCTTGCAATGGGAATTGCTTTCGGGAGCTGGCACCGGCCACTGTTTCGGGATCGCTACCGAGCACTGATTCTGACAGCGACGGTGTTGACAGGTAACTGTGCGACTTGTACTTTTTCACTATAACATTATTTTCACACATTTTTCTGGTACGTCTCATTTACTCTTCTTTCCCCGTTCAATAAAATAATCGATTTTACTACGGGAATGCAGGATCAACTATTTTCTGGTGGCTTTCCAACGTCCACTTTTCCAACTAACGCTCTTCTAGCCTATTGCGATGAAATTGCTCCCCAGTGGAGGAGGTAGTACTGGAGTTCTGTTGACCATTTACTTGCTTGGCTCTGGCTCACATATGGTCAGCTGTGTGATTGGGCTAGAAGCACTGGCCACTTGAGTAGGGCTCTGTCAACAGTTCCCAACTCTTTCTGGGGAAGTGGAAGGGTGGCGTCTCTCCGATTTGGTACTGCTAGTTAAGTACTGTTTGGCGCGTTGAAATTTTGACATGCATTTTTGAACTTGAACGTTACGCCCCCTGCTTTCCTGAACAACATAAAAGAAGATTTTGACTTCCTAATTCTTTTTTTCATCAGCTAATTTATTTTGAAAGCGTATGTTGTGTTTTTGGGGTTTCCCTCATGTGTAATGATGCTGAAGAGTTCTGGGAAAACCGGGGTTAAATATTAATGCAGAGTGAAAACTCGCCAAACTTAATTAATCAACTGGAACATTTGAGTTGCTATTTATGGTAATAATTACGCATAATTAATTATGCACACTTAATTACGCATTCGTTTTTAGGCATATTAAATCTGTGCAAATGTTTTTTTTTACTCCACTCGTTTTGCATTTAAGCTTTCTTCTTGGGACGGCTAAGGAAATTCGCTGTGATTCGAAGAGAAAACAAGGTCTGCGGAAATTGCCGAACGGTGAGATTTTAATTGTTTCTTTCCACAGATGCATTGCCAGTGAGCCCTTTTGGTCACTCTTATTTGTATTTATTTCTGCTTTCTATGAATTTGCATAAGTAATATTTGTAATATAAGTTTTTTCTTTGTTGTTTCGGAAAAAAACCAGCTAATGTTTGAAAACGGTTAAAGCTGATAATTTTTATCACTGCCTTAAGCGTGATTGTTGTTTAAGCCAAGTTTTATAACTGATTTTTCCACACAGACAATGACTTATCCGAGACCTGGTTTCACAGCGCATGGTGTCATTTCTCTGCTGCAAATTTACGATATCTCCATTAAATTTGCATTTGAGAGATTGCGAATCAGAATGTCAGTCTGTATAACTCATATTTCATCTTTCTGATGTAAATAGGGATCACCGCTCAGTTTGTTACGTTGTAGTTGCCATCAAGACGTTGAAATTGCCTATGAAAGCAAAATGTTCTTGTGTACGAGGGCATCTGGACAAAGACAGCGTGGCCTGGACTATATGCTCAATGGAAAACGTTAAAATTCATGGAAGTATGCTGAAGATCGACATGCCAAGAGTTACAGACTTTGTTCCTAGAGGGCGCAGCGCCATTTAGTGGCAGTTATCGTCATCATATTTGTAATCAAGATGACAATAATGCTAATATGCGTTAACTTTTCATATCCACTGTTGGATGAATCTCAAAGCCTGTCCAGTTTTTTTCCGCAAATGATCTTCTTCACGATTAGTGCACCCTGCACCAGTTTCATTTCGTGGCTCTTCATTTTTTACCGGTCATCATTGAGTCTGGTAACCGAATTTACTAACTGTTTTAAAACCGATGATCTGCTTGCAACATGTTCGCAGTTTTTGACTTCTTTTCTTTTGCAGTGATATCACATTCATCTGCTTGTGTTCTTATCCATTCGTTCGCATTTCTATCTGTTGTTATTCCTAGTATGCACGTCACCGCTTAGTACGTTAGTTCTCTACTGTGTGGTATTATACATATAATGATATGATGCTTTGGTAAGTCACAAACGGGAAGGCCACGCATAAAATGTTCTTTAATTAGAGACATTTGACGTTTCGGACCAAACTCGGTCCGCCTTCAGAGTACATTTACGAGACGGACCGAGTTTGGTATATAATTATATACATTAGCTATTGTTACTTCCTCCAATGTAACTGTACTTTTTTAGCTGCCGATAAACGTGATTTTGTTCACACTTTTATTAGGTTGTTGTCTACGCAAGGCAGTAATTCAGTTTTGGATCTGCGCCACATAGACTTGAGGTATTGTGAAACTGCATACAGCTGCTGCTTGTAGAGAAGCTCCTAAGCCTCTAAAAGCAAGATAGCCCTATGAGCATACTGCGTAAATATAAAGCAATGAGACGCCTTGATTATTCTCAGTTATGACAGTTAAGGCAGATTTTTTAACAGATCTATTTTTTCAGGTTACAATCTGTTTAGCAATGTTTTGATATTCGCAAGTTTCGTAGTTAAAGTTTTGTTTAAGCTAGGTCATTTGTATCCAACACTTTAGTCTGATCATCTGAGATATTTTCTCGACGTATGGTATTTATTTTATTTTTTTTATAAAAATAGTAAACAAAAATGTATTCCATCATTTGGGTGGGGCGAAAATTAAAATGTTCTTTAAGACATCCTTTTATGTCACAGTTGGGATATAGTTTTTCCTTTTAATCATAATATTCAGTATTATTCCTTACTAGGAGCATAAACTAAAATAATGTTCAGTTTGGTCCTGCGTTCAACATCATCATTTGCCCAACATCTTTTCAGTGTATTGCTCGGTCTCGTCCAAAAAACAAGGCTTATATTGTATTGCTTTCTTTAGACATTTACCATTGATTCTCACACCATACCGGGAATAGTGGTATTT